GATTTTAGCCTCATTTTAGCGTCATTTTCTACAAAAATCTGAAAATCTAAATTAACTGTATTACAATAATTAGTGCAGAATAATTAACTTTTCAAAAGAGTTCCTTTTCAAAGAATTTCCTTTCCTTATGTTAACACAAACTTAATTTTAAAAGTTTTACATTTTAACTTAAAAAAGAGGAAATAAAAAATTGTCTTCTTAGAGAAAGAAAGTATACATGGTACTTAACTGTTTTTGCGTATGAGAGTTGGTTCTTAACGATTCACGAAATAGGAAACGAAAAATTTTGTGAAGGAAAGAAAAGGTGGGAATGAAATATTCTTTCTTACGTTCTTAAAAAAGTGGCAAAGAAAAGTAAATAAATGAAAAAGAAACGAACAGCACAGCGAGAAAAAAGGGAAATGCTTCCGGTTTCAGTCCCTACATCTCAACCGGCTTATCACCTGATTAACTCCCGTACGAACGAGGAGCGTATCCCACACCTTTTCGTCGTCTTTCGTCTAGCGGCGGAACATCCTTTCGCTTTCTCCTGCCGGCAAAACGATCTAAGAGTCTGCTAACTGAAACTGTCTTCTAGACAGCTGAAGACGCATTTCAGCACTCTTCAGATTCATCTTCTTCAAATGTTCAGTCAGATTAGCATGTACAAAGCTTTTCTTAGCTCAGAGATAAGAAAAATATTTAAATTTCATTGCATGAATAATTTCCAAAAGAAATTGATACAAACTTTTTGTATAACAATAGTTTGGGATTTACAGAACTACAGAAATTGGTAAGTAAAAGCTGGTATTCGTTACGTGCAGCAAAATTCTTTACATATTCTACAAAATTAAAAATTATCAGTTTTATAAATACGAAAGATTACACAAAATAATTACAAAAATAATATTCCTTTCCAGTAGTATAAGTCATATACTTTGAAAAACATATTAAGAAGAGCAAATAATTTTAAGTAATACGAACTGTTAATTACTTTAAATATTATTTTTAAATACTATAAGCAGTATTTTATTACCTTTATTGACGTACATATGCTCTATTTCGATTTCATCGAATCTGAATCAGATTTTAAAAATTTATTTTTATTTTTCAATACAGTATAATTTCCATATTATTCTATTTCACAGTAACATATATAGTTTTAGGAAGTAGTAAAATAAGTTTTATGCAAAGCATGGAACGATTCATTTCTAAAAATGGAAGGCGTATTCAGTAACACTTTTAGGCTTTTTATTTCCTTAATATATTAGTTCTGAAATTCCTTTTCGCATTGTTATCCACTTACTTAGCTATAAAAGCAAAAACAAGAAATAAATCCAAGAGGATTTTAATTAAGCTACGCGCGATAGAAGCACCTTGAAAAATAAACGCAGAAAAGAAGGAAATTGACAACGATGTTCAAAATAATATGTTGTACATTTCCCTTTTAAGCGTATATAAATACATCGCTGTGTATTAAAAAAATTTATTAAGATAATAGTAACACTTGGTTAATATGGGCATATCTGGTTCAGTTTAACGTAAATTTAACATCGCATGTGTGAATGTGATAATATTTAATATTTCCTCCCGCAAATCTATGGATAAATGTCTGGATCAGATATTAGTTAAATTTGTTATCAATCATACGAATTGATTATAATTTTAATTAATAAGAGATGTAAGATATTTCTTACGCTACACACTGGATGTACTCCGGCTGAATAATTCATTTATTTAGGTATTTATTTTGAAAAATAAATACTTTTAAAATTTCTCTCTCTCTCTCCCTCCCCCCCCCTTTTTTTTTTTTTTTTTTTTTTTTTAGCCCTTTGTGAATGTGCTATTGGCGAAATATCAGTTTCTTTTGGAAAAAATGCGGATCGATAGGCAACAGCGGCAATGAATCTGGAATATAATACTGAATACCATTCGTTTAATATTATGAAGTTTAAAAAGGCCATGACATGTCATCGATTTTACTACTCGTGTTCTCAAAAGTTAGGTTTCTTCAAAAGTTCATTACAGAAGATCAGGTTTAAAATGTGATTGAAATATAATTTAAGTTCTTTTACAATTCAGTCAAGTTCTTTTTCTATCTTAATATAAAATAAATAAATAAAAATACTTCTCCTATTAAAAAAAAGGTTCCTTGTTGCCCTTAATGCGTTGACCCTTGTTTTTATAAAAGGCATTAAAATTTATTAGAATCTAAGATTAAGCGTTAAAAAAATAGGTACAGAAACTGGCGTAAAGTATGTACCTGTACGTTTTATTTACTTTACATCAGTTTCTGTTATTAATTTTCTTTAGCATTTAAGCTCATTTAACGTGCACTTTTGAAATGTCTGAAAGCACGACATTTAAATTACTAATCAGATACATCAAACTGTTAAACTAAATTATCAATCATAATGCGCACTTAAATTATGATCACTTTTAATAGTTAATAAACATTCAATAATGAATAATTATTTATAAGAAATAATGTGTAATAAAAAGTTGTAATAATTACTGCAATTTTCAACTATAAACATTTTAATAACAAAATGTTTTACTATTTTATGGCTAATTCACGTTTATGTATCAGATATAGACAATACTTCTTCAACGTAATACTTACCGATTTTGTTACCGATAAAATTTCTTGTAACGAAAAAACATCATATTATTCGATTAATACTCTATACAGCGATCCTCAACCTTTTGGCTAACGCGTTCCATCTAAACAAAAATTGAAAACTTGTAGTACCACCTCAACAAAGTACTACTACTACACCAGCACTCTTGAACAAAGCTCAAATCGCATAAATTTACGACTGTTAGAGAAAAAAACTCAATCAGGATGTTGCGGTTTTAATTTTTGAATTTAATAGTTAAAAATACTTTGCTTCTTTGGCGTACCACCTATATTTCTCTTGCTTACCACCGGTTGAGAATCCTTGCTCTACATAAACCATCGATTAATGATTTATATAAAGTACAAATAGCACCATTTCGCTTAATTACGCTAACTCATTGTTGTGCTCTTCGAATTAACGTTAAGCGAGATTTTTCTACACATGTTCTGACGATACACCTGGAGACACCTGTACGCCTAGAGATTCTAGTTTTAATCTCATACAAACAAAAGTAAGCAGCCACTAAGTATAAATATCACGAAATATTGAAAGTTCATCACGTTTTCATTCTTGAACTGACTGCCTTCATAGCGTTCTACGAGGTTTTTACGTACATTAGAGGTTATATCAGTGTAATGATCATTCACATGCAATATGAAATACGAAAAAATATGTTACGTCTTTATAATACACATCTTTATAATAACTTAATCACATAGAAATAAAAATTCAAAATCACTGCATATTTACCCCAGATATAATATTCCTAAATAGAATAAAGACAAAAAGATTTTCATTTTATTGATTCCAATATAACTGCAAATTAACACAACTTCTTTGATAGATTTGGTTGCCTCATAACATCAAGAAATTAGTCTTTACAAAACTTTACACTATTGTACATATAAAAGACTTTATAATTAAACAACTTCCCCTTTGTAATTAATAAATCCTGATTTTTAAGTTTCATCTAATATCGTTGGACTCTGTCAAAGGATGGCGTCACAAGTACTTTGAAAGTTCGTCCAATTAGTAGTACAACAAACGCCATTTAATATAATCGCAGTTAATGTTACCATTCGGATATTCATAGCGAATTGCCAAAGTCCCACTCATTTTTATATGAAAACATGAAAATACAACGCTTAATGTGATCAACAATTCGATTAATGTAATAAAGTATTGTAGAATGAATTTTTTTAAACTGAAGTTAAATCACCAAATAAGGTCAGAATAGATCATAAATTTTCCAAACGACAGAAAACGTCGCTAAGTAATAGATTACGTCACCAAACAGCGTGGTTTGACTTCAAGCAATCATTTAAAATTAGACAAAAAAGCAACATTAGTTTCGCGTACATTTTGAATAATTCTATCAATTTTGATCAGACGGATTTGGGCTATCAGACATAGCTCAATTTTTTTAGAAGCAAAACAACTTTTGTACACTTGTCGTGGCTTGAACTTATACATGAATTTTAAATAATAGTTAATATTGTTTTTTTTTTTTTTTTTTTTTTTTTTTGTTGTTGTTGTTGTTGTTGTTTTTGAAATGGTAACGAAAAGATTATTCAATTTTGTTGTTCTAAAAAAATTGCTTATGTTTGCTAAGAGCTTTAATAAAGATCACTTTATATTTAAAAATGTGGATTAAAAATATTTAAAGAAACGGAGTTCTAATTATAAAGATGAATTTGGAGTCAGGAGCCAATACACTTTCCTCCCTCTTCTAAAAAAATTTCTGAAAAAAATATCTACGCCATACTAAGTCCCCGCCCCAATTTTAATTCTTGCAATGGCGTGTTCGCTTCCAATTTGATTATATCAATAATGAAAAGGGAACCTTTTTCTAAATTCTACGAAGATCTGCTGGACTAACCAGCTTAATACGGCTGGAATCTGCTGGGCGCTTTCTGGAACAAATCCAAGCAGATCATGTGACAGATTTTGTGAGAATGATTATAGAGAAATTGGTGAATTTTTTACAAATCCTGTGATAAGGGATGCCCTCCGATTTTCAAAATTAGGGATATAAATCGGACAAATAAGTATTATGATGAGTTCATGCTTGCACTTTTACATAACACTTGCTGGCATTCCACTAGTAATGACTTAGCAAACATTCCACTAGTAGTGAGTTTCTTCCTTAGGCGAACAGCTCTCGTGCCCTTTACCATAATTAAATAAAACAAATTTATTATTTTTATACGCGTTTGATATGTAAACTTAAAAAAATCGTACGTATTTGTGCCAAACGAAACAAAAACTACAGATTTTGAATTCAATGAACCAAATCCTGCAAAAATACAGACTACCAGGAAATCATACGACAGTAATTTGATGCCTTGATATCTAAATGTTATGTTACATAAATACAGGAAATCACAAATCTATACAAACCTCAGAGAAGCTTCGTGTTGAAGGACCTTATGATAAAAACGTATTTGATTAAACGCATACAGCAAGGGAACTAGTTTTACTCATACGTGCTTCGCCTTGCCAGGTGCCGGCACTACACGGCCAATGCACCCTCAGAACAATTCCGGAGGTTCAACACCCTTCCCCGCACCTTGGAGAACAGCAAGGGAAGGGAAAACGTGTAGAACATCTTACCCCTGCAAAACTCAAATGAATTTCCACGACTTAAGAGTTAATATGAGTTAATGCCCAGAAGCACATGAAAGTGAAAAAATGTCGGATATATTTGAAGTCCTTTGCTGAAACGTTTTAGAAAATGAAGGACATAACGGTATATATCTAAAAAATCAATAAATTATGGTTCTTAGGAAGATTTCAATACGTCGTTAACAAACTAAAATAATTCTTCACATTGTTAAGCTTAAATTTTTTTCGGAAAGTAATTTTTTTAACAAATAGGAATTCCAGGAAAAACTCTGAGAAATTTGAATATTTTTTATTATACCTCCTCCGCCCCGCACACACACACGAAAATTTGCGAACTCATTGAGGATTTTCTGAATCGGCGAAACATATTCGCTAATTTTATAACTCATAAGCACTGTTATAGTCATAAATAACAAAAAGATGTAGTTTTATAAGAAACAAAACATTTTAGAAGAGAAACTAAAGTCTGTATAGCAGATATTTATATTTCTAGAATTGCTGAGTACAGGGTAATGACAATTAGTAAAACATATACGTGTGGCTATTATTACGTGCACGCTCGAAAATGCGCCAAAAATGCGGCAATTCTACAGAATCTTGAAATAAGTATGCGCAAAATGAATACTTGCTGATTTTTTTTTTTGGGGGGGGGGGGAGACTTTTTGATTTTGGATCTCATTTTGTTTTGTTGAATTCACCCAGCTGGTGAATCTAAGCGAAGACCAAACGGATAACTGCCACCTATATGTAGCTTTTGCGTAGCAAATTTAATGCAGTGTCCTTACTTAGTAAAGATTTCAGTTTGAAAATAATAATACTTCTCTTCTAAATAAGTATAATAAAAAAGAGAGCTCAAAAAAGAAAAAAAAAATGAACAGAAAATCTGAAAGAATTCAGATTCTAATGTCGCACCAAAGGGTTTGTTAAAGTTTTATATGCTCTCGAAGAGGTTGCAGTTTATCAATCTCCTGTTGGACTCACTCTTGCAGACACAACTATTTTGCCTTTTTAACTGTATTATTAAACACCTTTTTCTTCGCATTTATACTACATAAAATTCAATAGCAAAATCTCAAAATTTTTAAAAGCAGCACATCTTTAGAATTCCTAATAGAGAGTCAAGTACTTTTTTTTCCAGTCTTTCCTCAGTTTATCACATCAATGTTCAGTTTTCTTATCATGATGACCTAAAAAACCTGTTTTTTTTAACTTTATCATTAAACACACTTTTTTTCACACTTGCGCCATATCAAATTTACCAGCAAAACCAAAACATTTCTATAAACAGCGTTTGTTTAGAATTATTTAACACGTATACAGTGTTAAATGTCGCCATTAATTTTCTTTCAGTCTTTCAGTTCATTGTATTAATGTTTAACTTTTGTTCTTTTAATGCAATTTTTTAAGCATCGCTTTCTTCACACTTACGCCACATGAAATTCAACAATAGAGAACATAACCATATTGAAATCCATTCTCGGTAGAGCCATGCGATACTGAATATCATCCCACACAACATTTAACAGTATAGAAAAAAATCTAAAACTTCTTAGATTCGAGGTTTATATCTAATTTTTACTGCTATTTCTTCAAGACTCTAGGAGTTGGCCCCCTTTTTTTTTTGTAATTTTTTGAATTTTTTTTCAGGTTTTGAAATAAAATAAATGTTGAACTGCGGTGCTTAACCACCAGGGTGCCTGGGCGCCATAGCCCTACCCCTCATCGAATAACATGATAAAAGTTTCGAATTATGAGAAATATAACTGAATGTGCTAAATAATTAAATGAGCAAGAGTTTAAATTCATAATTGCTAATAGTTAAATACATTTTTTTCCTTAAGTACCTAATTACTAATCCATACATAATTAACTATTTTTTAACAACTATTTCACAGAAGAATACATGTACACACAAGAGAAACAAAATACGAAGTGCGACGCCTTAGTGCCACTAGTAAAAACAAAAAGCAATCAGGAGGAAAAAAGAACAATATACAATAAAGAATCTGAGCAACAATTTGCATAACACATATACAAAATTACACATTACTAACATTTAGGATCGCCCTTGGGCGTTTACTGAAATTGGGGTCCCTAGTATCATAACAATAGTTAACAACCACAGGATTGTCCAGAAGTTCCTGTTTATCATAAAATGCCCTAGATAGGCGGCAATAAAAATCACAAAGATCCTCTATTCTTAACTCTTTACGAATTTGGCTATTCCGAATGTACCAGGGGGCATTACATATCATACGCAATACCCCGTTTTGGGCAGCTTGTAACTGCCTTCTCAAACTTTTGCACGAGTATGCCCAGACGGGGCATGCATAACTAAGAATTGGACGCAACATGGTTTTGTAAATGAGCAACTTATTATCAATAGATAGAACACTGTTTCGAGCAATTAAGGGGAAGAGTGAAGCTTTACTAGCTCGAAACTTCCTGAGAATATGTGTAACGTGTGGGTTCCATGTAAGAGATTTACTGAGGATCACCCCAAGATAAGGGACCTGCTTGACCCAGGGAATGTCCACACCATACATTTGCAGGTGAGTCGGGAAATTCTTCTTAGTAGTAAACAGTATGGCATGTGTCTTGTCGACATTCACTTTGACTTTCCATTTGGTCAGCCAAGTCTCTAGCGAGTGGATGTGGTGTTGTAGCTGTTGTATTGCTGAACTAACAAATGCACTTTGCGTAAGGATCGCTGTGTCGTCTGCATACATGGCTAGTGTTGTGTTGTGTGTAGTGGGGATGTCGTTCACGTAAATATTGAATAGGGTAGGGCCCAGAAGGGATCCCTGTGGAACACCAGCCCGTATAGGCCGGTTTGTGGATAATGAACCAGAAACATGAACGACAAAGTGTCTACCGGTTAGGTAGGATTTAATTATGTTTGTGATGTAGCCTGGGAGTCCCAGGTTGTGTAATTTGTATATGAGGGCATCCAGCCATACTCTATCGAAGGCTTTGGCGACATCTAAGAAAAGTCCACCAGTGACACGATGTTGTTGCATCCCACTGCTTATTAACTCAACAACTCTGTAGAGTTGATGCGTTGTCGAGTGCTTACGCCTGAACCCAAACTGATAGGGTATGAGGATCTTCTGCTCATCCAGGAAGATGTTTAGTCTATGTAGAATAACTGCTTCCACGATTTTGCTAATTGAGCTTAGCAAACTGATTGGTCGGTAACTCTCAGGAGCAGTCGCAGGCTTGTTGGGCTTTAGCAGAGGGACAATCTTGGCAGTTTTCCAACAAGTTGGGAAGTATTGCCATCGTAGTATGATATTCACTAACTTGGTGAAGTAGAGTATTATCTTGACAGGGAAGTGCTTGATCATCTCATTTGTGACCCCGTCTACTCCAGGGCTCTTCCTTTTCGCAATTCGCATGATATAGAGACAGACCTCCGATGGCATGGCTGAGATAATGTTGTCTGTGCATGGCTGTGTTGTAAAATTGGAGTGGAAGTCAGCAATAAGCTGTTCAGTGTCTGAGTCTGAAATGTTGTTAATGCAGAACTGAGATTCCAGATGCTGAGCTAAAAGTTCTGCTTTCTCAGTTCCGGTGTAATGGATCCGTTGAGGGCCGTGAAGGGGCGGAATGGCGTTATAGCATTTTTTGTACCTCTTCACTGCTTTCCATAAGGAGTTATCCTCTGCAGAAAGAGATCTGAGGTAGTTAGTCCAGCGATCTTGTGAGAGTTTATTTGTAAGAAACTTGACCGCTTCGCACAGGCGATTGAAGTTCCTTTTATCATCACGGTGTCTGGTACGTTGATACGCTCGTCTTGCAGCATTTCTCTCTTTAATCAATAATCTGAGCTCTTGAGGCTTGTGTTTCATACCAGGTTTAACTTCAACTTGTGCTTTCGCATAAGCATTTTGTATATTTTCAGTGAGGTCCTTGACCAAACTATCAATGTCACTCCCCTTGTGTATCGTGGGTAAAGTGTACTGGGTGTTGGAGAGGGCTTTGGCAAAGACCTGCCAGTCTGTACGAAAGGCCCTGGTGTCTGATGTAGTATATCTGCTGAGGTCCAGAATAATCCTAACAGGATTGTGATCACTTGAAAGTTCGTCCAGTACGGAAATATCCAGTGGAGAACTGGTGTTCCGCAACAAGGAAAAAATCAATAATTGCGGTGGACCCAGCAGCATACCGTGTTGGGGTACTTGGAACTGCCAATTTAAACCGTGCCGACGCGGCCAAGGAATAAATCAGTCTGCCTGTTGCATTAGAAGTGTAGCAGTTCCATGCGCGGTGTCTTGCGTTCAAGTCTCCACCAATAATAACATGTGTACCAAGTGTGAGTAGAATTTCAAGGTCTGCCTGAACGACAGCCACAGGTCTCATGGGAGGAATGTAGGTGGAGACAAAAGTGTATGGAGTGTTAGTGTCTGTTGTGATGCAGATAGCTGTGGCCTCTACGGCTGAGAGCTGTGGAATGTTCACGTGATAATGGGGAATGCAGCGTTTGACAAGAAGTGCAGTGCCACCTCCACGTGGGCGAGGAGCGGTAGTACTTCTGTGCGACTTGTAGGTATAGTAATTTGCCACACACAATGGTATTTTAGGGTCAAGCTTGTGTTCTTGTAGGAAAAATAAGTCGGGACTGTGCTCACTTGCAAAATCCCGCAATTCATTAATCTTACGGAACAAACCATTTGCGTTCCAAGTAATAATACTTAAGTACCTATTGTTTACACTATACATAATTATTCAACATTGGAAAAAACACTGTCAAAAACATTAAATAATATAAACAACTTATCGATTGAATGCTCCGCAGCCCGCAATTCAGGCATGGCTGCCGAGATTTTTTGAAAAACATTCATAACTGTGGTGCCTTTAAAAACATCACACACCTCTTTGATTATTTTGAGAAAGTCCATAAACATACCCGAACCAACAGTAGCACTAGCAGCACCACCACTGCTGACAGTCTGTTTATGCATATCAACATTAAAATTATTAACAGTATTTACAGATCTTTGAACGTCACCCTTGGCTACACTAGCATAACTGCGCCCGGAGGCAACAGCAGAATAACTCAAATTTGCATTAGAAGTACTAGGCATTTTAACACCATTATTTACATTTTCTGAGTTTGCACTCTTATTCACAGTTTTATTTCCGACTATGCGTCGGGGGAATTTCGGACATCCGCGATAATTGGCGGTGTGTCCTTCTTGCAGGCAATTACAACAAATAGGAGAGTCTAATTTTTTAACATTACATTTATCAGTACGATGTGCACCCGCACATTTCACACATCTTGGTTGTAGTTTGCAAGTGTTGGCAGTTGTGACACTGCACAACATTTCCACGCACTTTATAAGGATGTATTTCAACAAAGAAACATAGCAGTTTTTTAACATCATAAATAGATTGCACCCCTGGTACATTCTCTAAATGAACCTGAAACAAAGGCATAGGAGCCTTAGATTTGGTTCTGTGCATTTGGGTAACTTTTCGAGGTTTATACTTTAAATTAACCAGCTCCTCAAAAATGTCATCTGAGGGGCAATCGATAGGTAAACCTCTTATAACTATTTTGATGGGCCTATCCATCTTTCTGGTAATTAAATAATGATCTACACTTTTTTCATCCAAATATTTTGTTATCTGACGGTGATCATTTTCCGTTTTCGGAAAAACTTTTAAAAACTCGCCAGTAACTTTAGCTGCAAAGTCTAAATTAGTTTCAGCCCTCAATTTTTTAGAGAAATCCGAAAATTTAATTGGAGGCTTCACCATTATCGGTTTCACCTTCGGTTGTTGCATTTCAATAACCTCATTCTCTTCACTAACTTCCATATCATTATTAGTGGCAGTATTATCTGCATTAGCATTTTCACCTAGCTTATCAAATTTATTGCTAACATTAATTTCTGCATTAGCTTTGACTAATTTAGCAGGCCGAGCCGTATTACGCGGCTGTGTAAAGCCCTCTGAATCCTGAATTTCGCTAACACATCTTTTTCCTTTTTTCGAAGGCCGTTTAAGCAAAATTTTTGTTTTTTCTCCGCTAGGAGTTTGTGCAGTTGCACCAGATTTATCACTAACATTTTTTTACACTTGATATAGTATCATTACAGTTAACAGAAGTAACAGTAGATATAACCTGCATCTTAGGGACATGCTTAACAACATTCACATTCAACTTATCAAAAGATAAATTTACAATACTAGGATTTTGGGCACTAAAAACGTCGCACTTACCCTGAAATAACAAAGCCAGTCTTTTGGCTATTCCACTCCTTTTTTGGTGTATATCCAGACGTTTTTGCTTATCCTCCTCACTGGATAATGTATTGAGATCATCTTCCGTTAACTGCTCATCTACATGAACTGCAACATTCAGAAGCAGAACTTGCTGAAGCGCGAGTTGATAATCCTCCGCATCGTAACAATCCTTGTTTAATAGCTGACTCCAACCTTTTCCTAACACCTTGTCTGCATACGCACATATCTCCTCGGGTAAACCAGAGAGATTTTCTTTACTAACGTTCACAACCTCGGGCGGAGGAGGAAGCGGCGGGTAATCCTTCGGATCCATTGCTGACACTAGCACGTGTTAGGCTTAACACCCACAACGCACACCATAGCACAAAACACGGTCAAAAACGTATTAATCCACATAATTAAGACCAGAATTACAGTAAAACCACTGACACAAAGAAAAGTAATCGCAAGAAAAAAAATTTTTATAGTTGTATATGTTGGGGGGTTGATTTCCCCTACAAAATGTCAACGTTCTAAAACTAATCGTTTTTGAGTTATGCAAAATGCATACTACGTACTTAACATCACGAAAAAAATCCCTTTCAAGTATCAACTACTTAAGTCATAATCATTAGTCATAAGTATCAGCTTAGAGTAAATAGGATTACATTTAACAATCAGTTTTTTGAAAAAAAAAAAAAAAAAAAAAAAAAAAAAGTCCTTTATTGTGTTCGTACGTACAGACGTCACCCCAAAAAATAATTCACATGGATTCCGTAATCGGCAAAAATGGATATTTCCGTTAAAATATGATACCCAAAAGTTTTCTCGATTACAATACTTACTACCATTTTATTTGATCCAAGGAAGTAAAGAACCTATATTAACCTACATATTCTTATATGAACAATACCTAATGTGCAGTTATAAATATTTTAAAATCAATAAAATCTCACTATGGCACCCTCAAGGAAAAAAAAAAAAAAAAAAAAAAAAATCATCTAAATTTTCAAATTACTAACATAGATAGCAAAAGTAAAAAGCAAATACAAAATAACGCTTCACGCTGTCATAATTGCTCATCTGCTTAAATATCAACAACTAAATAGTATTTCAACTAAAACACATAATGTAAATAAGAGTTTGCCCGATTCCCAAAAAAATTCAAAATTATCTATGAAAAATATGAGCGCATTGTGACGCAACCGTTTCATTCGTATTCGAACAGCAACCGCATCATTCGTATTCGTATAGCAACCGCATCATTCTTACTCGAATAAACCGTATCGTACGACAGATGCGAGTAACGAAATGAATTTGTGAGTACCGAGTCGGTACTTCGAGTCAACCGATGTACCCGTTACTCGGTCACGAATACATGCGGTTTGCTCCAGCTCTACTAGTGATCGGAAAATTCCTGTTTTGAGTAACCAGTATTACGTTGCTGATGCTGAAGTACTAAATGTTTTTCATCATTAAGATGTACGAAACATTTTATTTTATACTAAGCTCTACATACAAATAATCGTTTGGAAAGTCAAATAAATTGGATATTTTAAACGAACTTCGATTTCGAATCAAAACAGAGTCCATGAAATATGACGTCACTCTTGAATGAGAAGTAATTTTAGAGACTTTAATGATATGATTACGTTTTTTTATGTGGCAGTGTTATCTGTATTTCAAGATGAAGCTTTGGTTTGGTCTCAGATGTAAAGATTAATAAATCTGAATTTAAGATTAGAATCTTCTAGAGTTTGACACAAGCCTCAGTTCCCAGGCAGGAAAATATTTGTAATTGGAGTGTTCTATATTATTTCCTCTTTTTCTTTGGAACATAAGCATTGAAACAGGAGAGAAACCTCTTATATATGAAGCAGGAAAGAAATCATTTAATATAGAAAGTCATTTAAAGAGGCATATGCGTATTCACACAGAATGCACCCTCATATATGTGAGTATGCAAGAAATCATTTAATCAAAAAAGTGCTTTAAACATGCATATGTGCGTTCACACAGGAGAGAAATCTCATATGTGTGAAGTATGTAAGAAATCATTTAATCAAAAAAGTTCTTTAAATGTGCACATGCACGTTCACACAGGAGAGAAACCTCATATGTGTGAAGTATGTAAGAAATCATTTATAAAAAAGCAGATTAAGCAGGCATATGCTTATTCACACAGGAGAGAAACCTCATATGTGTGAAGTATGTAAGAAATCATTTAATCAAAAAAGTTCTTTAAATGCACATGCGCATTCACACAGGAAAGAAACCTCATATGTGTGAAGTCTGTAAGAAATCATTTAATCAAAAAAGTACTTTAAAATGGCATATGCTTATTCACACAGGAGAGAACCTCATATGTGTGAAGTATGTAAGAAATCATTTTATGAAAAAAGTGCTTTGAATATGCATATGCGCATTCACACAGGACAGAAATCTCATATGTGTGAAATATGTAAGAAATCATTTAAAAAAATCAAGCATATCATTAAGAAATCTCATAGTGTAAAGTTCAAAAAGCTTTATGGCATATGCTTATTCACATAGGAGAGAAACCTCATATGTGTGAAGTATGTAAGAAATCATTTAATTAAAAAAGTAATTTAAGCAGGTATATGCACATTCACACTGGAGAGAAACCTCATGTGTGAAGTATGTAAGAAATCAGTTAATCTAAAATGTTCTTTAAATGTGCATATTGCCATTCACACAGGAAAGAAACCTCGTGTGTGAAGTATGTAAGAAATCATTTGATGTAAAAAGAAATTTAAACTCGCATATGTGCATTCACACAGGAGAGAAACCACATGTGTGAAGTTTGCAAGAAATCATTTAATTGAAAAACTGATTTAAACGTGCATATGCGCAATCACACAGGAGAGAAACCTCATGTTTGTGAAGTATGTAAGAAGATGTTTACTCAAATGGATAGTTTAAACAAGCTTATTCACATTAGAGAGAAAATTTGTGTGTGAAGGACATAAATGTTCTGTCTTTTTCATAAAGGCGATTTAAATATGGATATCAACGTAAGAGACCAACATTACGAGCTAAGTATATAACAAGTTGTTTAAAGCAATAGAGAATTCATGTCTTACCTACACAGGAAGAGAAACCTCCTGTCTTTTAAGCACAAACTAGAAAAAACATTTAGTGAACTTTGCGATAGGCATTTGTCTGTACAGTTAGGAAACCTCATTAAGTGAAATCAAGTCTCTAGTTTTCTCATTGAATTAAAGAATTTAGGTACAGCAAATGTCTTAGAATTTAGAAATGCAAATCGAATGGCATGAATATGACAGATGAACCTGTGGGAGATGCATAAATTCTTATTTAATAAAAGTGAATTAAAACCGTTAATTTTTTTCCACAAGATGAAATATTTTTCAGGATATTTTTACCTGATAATGGTGTTCAATTTTTATGTCTGCTGCATAACAACATGTGTTATCTAGATAGAACTTCAAAAACTGAAACTGTGAAAGATGTCTAATGTTTTTTCCCTGATATATATATATATACTGTAAATTATTTGTATGTTTCTGAATTTAATGCAGTTACGAATTGCAGCTCTGCCAGTGTTGACAGAAATGTCTTTCTTGTTTCTGTCATGAAGAATGTATTAGTATTTCCCACTCGTGGTGAACCAGTGTTGACCATCCTATGCGATTCTAGTATCAAATGTGCGAGTATATAACTGAAACCAGTGCAGGATTCGACAGCATTGTTAGAAAGGTGATATGAAACATCAAATATTTTCAGTCAAACCCTGAACCTACCAAGTAGAGCAATCCCATGTGTCTAATGCATAAAAAAAAAAAAAAAAAAAAAAATTGGGAAACATCATTTCTGTTTGGGTAAGAAATCTATATATACTAGATATTTATTAAAACTGTTTTATGTATGTATGTATATATATATATATATATTCCTTTTCGTGTAACCGTGAGATAAAACTAAAGTAATCCATTTTTATTTTAAGGTGAAATTATTTTCCATTTTGGGAATATTTCGTTTCTCAAATATAAACAAAGTAATTTAAACAGTATGATGCACTTTAAAATCTTTTTATTGACGAAATTTTCTTGAAAATGTGAACACTTGTTATAGCAGCTAAGGAGAATACATGTACTTTAAACCCTGGCAATGGGTATATCTGTTTGAGGAAACATATTTAGCAAATAGGGTCCTATTGGAAAAAAGATCAATTAAAAGTTTCATTCTTCTGGAAGAATTTAGAATAACTTTTACGATTGCTGAAGTGCTCTCAGGTGGCACTTCCTAAACCTTTTTCATTTATGACTCCTTTTGATTAGCCTTGGGACTAAATATAATGTAGAGATAAAAAAATCTGAAAACTCATTTTATATTGCACGTAAAGAGGTGTTTTCCATTTACATACGTGCCTTGCAAACATTTGGGCTGCCACCCCTGTGGTCTACAAATATTTAAAATACCTTTCGAATTTCCGATAGACAGTATCACTCGGAGATAAAAATGTTTTGTTCTGTACGGTGTTGCCATTGCTCGATTTGTTAATCAAAAATTCATGCAGAGATAAAAATGTTTTATTCCGTACAGTGCTGCAACTGCTTGCTTTGAAATCATTGAGTTTGTTAATAAAAAATGCCTGAGTTTTACAAAATATAAAATAGACAATAAAACAAATCTGAAATTGGGGCTTCCAAGTGATATTATTCAGGTGGAGGACTATGTTATTAAACATTTGATGGCTCCAAGTCCCTTTTATTTTCACACTGCGAGAAACATGCATACTTTCATGCAGATTCTTCATTATTTAATTTTCTTTAGTACAGGGGGATAATATTTGGTGGCAACAATCTGAAAGCAACACTTTTAGTGATTAAACGTAAAATGTCATTTCATGACTAATACTCCTTCTGAGCTAATAAAAATAAATATTTTCTCATTGATAATTTTTTCATTACTAGAAATATAAGAAAGAAGTAGTTTTAGGATTTGCTTCAGATATAAAAAAATATATGAAAGGAAATCATGTTTTAACAAGATGGATGTGCTTAATTTTTGCAGGAAAAAAAAAAAAAAAAAAAAAAGAATAAATCTTATTCCAATACTTGAGACTGCTAGACATAAAGCACATTCAACATTTTTCAACATCTAATAATATTTGCATTTAATATTTATTAAAGCTGAAAAATCATTTTACGTAAGTTTGTGGTGCTAAATGGTAGAACATTCATAAATTGTCCAAAATTCATTTCTAGTCCAGAATACTGTCAAGGATTTTTGTGGAAATGAAAGATTTAAATTTTAGTTGCTCAACAGCTCAATATTTTCCTTTGGTCTTTATGTAGTAGGTGTTTAATCTCATTCATGTCAGTCAAAATATTCTTTTTTAATCCAAGCTATGTTTTTGAATTTTGATAAAAAATATTTGCAAAACTGTGTTACTATGATTTTTAAGTTATCTGTAATAGTTTTTGCAATTACTTTCTTTTCAATAATAAAATTTTCAACATTTGAAAACATTTTGAATGAATCATTTTTCATCTTACTCTTCCGATTTTTTACCATTTGAAGTAATTATATTGCTAATTTTTCCTCAAAGAGAGAAGTTAAAATTATTTATTATCTCAAAAGGGTACTTTTCCGTTTTGCCAGCGCAGGCTATAAAGTCGCCAGTAATGGTACAATTGATGCCAAACAGAATATCCTCGACAGATAACTTTTACGCATCATTTTCAAAATAAGTCCCAGCCATTTCTTATCAGATTGATTGTTTCTTTCAATACTGGCATACAATTACATAGAATTTTTTACCAGATAATTAAATTTTATGCCCTAAGGTCATTCGCGGTAATTAAGTCAATTAGGATGGAATCACACCACTCACACGAAGGCGAAAATAAAATATAGAAAAGGCAAAGTCAAGGGTTAAATTCATCAGTTCTAATGAGAATGCACTAGCGAAGTAAAGCACTGTGGTTTTACATAATTTCTGAGTAAGCTATTCATACGAATTGAAATAATTCTTGCATTTAAACTTATATTCCAAATTAAGATTTAACTTGAAATTAATGTAGATTGAATGAGAGAATTATATTTTTGTAATGTAGTTTACGTGAGATGAGATCACTTGGGGTCAAGTGATATGAACCGGCGAATCAGGATGTTGAACCATGAAAGCATAGTAAATTTTTAAATTAACATCTTTTTACAAATTTTATTGGACTTTTTACAAAATTTTAAATGATATTAAAATGTTTATGCCTTCAAAATAAAAAATTCTTAGAACTAACATTCGTTAACATTTTTTATTTGTGTATATTGTATATTGTCGTTAATAAAGTCTGCTTGGTGAGATTTGTGCCAGCGAAATTGCAAAAGTACCCTCAAATGTATCTGACAGAAAACACAGGTTCAAGAGTCATTTTTTTAAAAAAAGCAGCAAGTTCAGATTATTGTTTAGTTAAACATACAATAATTATATTTTTTATTAATCATAATCTTAAGCTACGCCTTCTTGACATTTACAGTACAAAGTCCGTAATGTGGACGTTCATTATTCGGAAAGCTCTATAATCCTGACCTCAAAGAACAAACTTATGCATGCGTATTTCATGCGTGCGTCCACTGTACATGCGTGTAAAGCCAGTAAGGCGTTTACCCATGCATGCTTCCGATAGTGAAGAAAGTAACAGAGAATGTTATTTAAAACAAAAAAATTTCCATTGACAAGTTAGTCGGTATTCTCAACAGAGCAATTACAGGACTTGAACAATGGAACTTTGTAACTGAACAAGAAATTATGTCTTTTTATAGAATTAAAGAAAAAGTATTAGCACAAGAAACAAAGCAACTTAAACAACTTGCATTGAAAGAATTTGTTTACTACAGTAAACAAATAAATATTAAGCTTTTTTTTTTTTTTTTTTTTTTTTTTTGTAAATTTTATACCCTTTAGATCATAATTGCTCTTTATTTCATCAATTACGGTTTCATATTTTTAATTTTATAATTTCTGCATGCCATCTTACCAGCTTTAAACTGATGATCTATAATCCAGAAAAATCGATATTCCGGAATCGCCGAAGTCTCGACGAGTCCGGATTAACAACTTTTGACTGTACATGTTTGGCTATGCATTACGAGCTAGGTTACTAATGGCAAATTGTTCCGTTAAATTTTAGATTACTCCAATCGCACACTGAAACAATTAAGCCTGAATTGTATTAGTTGTTTATTATACTTATGTCTATATCTTGCACATGCTTAAGGCGTATCAGAGTTCTGAATAAATAAATTCCCACATATACTAAAGTAATCTTTGGGTCTATAGGTATCATTAACAGAATCTATTTTTAACATATGGAAAGAAATTTTTGCTAAATTTTTCCTTGTCAACATTTTTTAGCACATTTAACTTCAATCTGTAATCATCTCTAAGTGTAATGTCAACATAAAAGGCTACCATACTCATTTATTTTTCAATTACAGTAGACTCCCGATTATCCGCACCTACCGCACAAAGTTTTTTTTTTTTTTTTTACAAGTGTAAAGCAAAGAAAATAATAATGTTCACAAAAGTTAGCGAAACGTTAAATTTGCTAACATCGTGCTTATTTATGATAAAAATATTCCAGGTTTTCTCGAAACCTTCCCCTCTGATGAGTAATTGATTTCTTACTCACCCTTGCATTGTCCGCTCCACCACCCTCTCTTGTCTTAATCTTGGAATTCGAGAAACTGGATTTCATGGGGAAAACTTAGTGGTGACCAACAAGTAGCCCGATATTTCCACCATGAATTTTGAAAGAATTGTTTTAAAGAAGAGCAATGTTTTGAACAAATTTGCTTTAATTTGACGAAATCGGGACTTTTGTGGAAATGTCTTTCCCACTCACACTGTAACATTTGAAAGTGAAAGTAAAGCTGCGGATCAAAAAGCAGCAAGGAAAGGATCACTATCATGTCTTGCAGTAGTAAACCTACCGTGGAGATAAATTTAGACTTGTTTCATTGGAAAGTCAAAAAAAACCGATGAAAGGTCAAAAAACATTTTGCCCGTTGATTACTTTAACCAAAAAAAAAATTGGGATGAACCGAACTTTTTCAAGAATGGTTCGGAAAAAAATCTTTTTCATCAATTGCGTAAAACATCTTAAATCGAAAAACGTGCCTGAAAAAGCTGTGCATTGATCAACAACGCACCTTTTTCTCACCCAGCAACAAGCATGCTAAAGTTTGATGGATCAATTTTTGAAAAGTTTCTCCCCCCAAACGGTTACTGGTTAATCCAACCCATGGACGGAAGAGTCATTTGCAACAATGAAGAGAACATACCAAATTAAAGCTGCTAATGACATTTATGATCTAAAGAGTTTGGGAAACACTACACAATGCTTGGACTAAAATCTACGATATTGCTTATCTGCATGGGACTCAATGAAACTGTTTCAAGTCCTTCATAAAAATCACTGGAAAAACTCATACCTAATGTTGAAGCCAACAACAACCTAACCCTTTGAGTTGTGAAGAAGTGAATTGAAAGATGTAGAAACGCCCACGGCGACTCTTGCCGATATAGTTGAAAAACAGTTCTGGTGGTGAGAAAGTCCGATGCTGAAAACATTAACGAGTGATTGAAGTGTGACGTTGACGAACCTGGCTTCGAACGCTTGACAGATGATGAAGTTGTGAAGAAAGCAAGGGGAGACACCGAGAATGACGGACAGCGAAGTGAAGGCAAAGAAGAGCCCACTGTGCAGATGCGGAAGACTCACGAAGCGGCTTAGTAACAAGGCGACGAACTGCTGAGCTATTTGGAAGAGAAAGACAATGTGGAGTTGGCCGAGAAACTTATGCTACGAAAAAT